TCTCTCTCTCTCCTCTCTCTCTCTCTCTCTCTCTCTCTCTCTCTCTCTCTTCTCATTCATTATTTCTCATATATATATAATTATCAAATTCTTCTCTTCATATTTTATCTCTATTCTACTCTAGCTCCTCTCGTTTTTCTCTCTCTCTAATGTTATAATCCTTTAGCCATTCTTCATAGCTGGTATCACCTAGCTCATGTCACTTAGGTTGTACCACTTAGCTCATACCTTGTACCACTTAGCTTATACCTTGTACCACTTAACTCAGCTTGAACCACTTAGCTCATACCTTGTACCACTTGGCTCATAGCTTGAACCACTTAGCTCATGCCTTGTGCCACTTGGCTCATAGCTTGAACCACTTGGCTCATAGCTTGAACCACTTGGCTCATAGCTTGAACCACTTAGCTTGTACCTTAAACCACTTAGCTCAGCTTGAACCACTTAGCTCATACCTTGTACCACTTGGCTCAGAGCTTGAACCACTTAGCTCAAACCTTGTACCACTTGGCTCAAACCTTGTACCACTTGGCTCATAGCTTGAACCACTTAGCTCATACCTTGAACCACTTAGCTCATAGCTTGAACTGCTTAGCTCATAGCTTGAACCACTTGGCTCATACCTTGAACCACTTAGCTCATACCTTGTACCACTTGGCTCATACCTTGTACCACTTAGCTCATAGCTTGAACCACTTAGCTCATAGCTTGAACCACTTAGCTCATAGCTTGAATCACCTAGCTCATATCTTGAACCACTTAGCTCATACCTTGAGCCACTAAGCTCATTCCTTGAGCCACTTAGCTCATACCTTGAACATGCTCAACTTGACCTTGGCTCATACCTTGAACCACTTGCTCATAGCTTGAACCACTTAGCTCATAGCTTGAACCACTTAGCTTGTACCTTAAACCACTTAGCTCAGCTTGAACCACTTAGCTCATACCTTGTACCACTTGGCTCAAGCTTGAACCATTGCTCAAACTTACACTTGGCTCATAGCTTGAACCACTTAGCTCATACCTTGAACCACTTAGCTCATAGCTTGAACTGCTTAGCTCATAGCTTGAACCACTTGGCTCATACCTTGAACCACTTAGCTCATACCTTGAACCACTTAGCTCATACCTTGTACCACTTGGCTCGTACCTTGTACCACTTAGCTCATAGCTTGAACCACTATCTCATAGCTTGAACCACTTAGCTCATAGCTTGAATCACCTAGCTCATAGCTTGAACCACTTAGCTCATACCTTGAGCCACTTAGCTCATTCCTTGAGCCACTTATCTCATACCTTGAACCACTTGGCTCATACCTTGAACCACTTGGCTCATACCTTGAACCACTTGGCTCATACCTTGAACCACTTAGCTCATAGCTTGAACCACTTGGCTCATACCTTGTACCACTTGGTTCATAGCTTGAACCACTTAGCTCATACCTTGTACCACTTAGCTCATACCTTGTACCACTTAGCTCATACCTTGTACCACTTTGCTCATAGCTTGTACCACTTGGCTCATAGCTTGAACCACTTAGCTCATAGCTTGAACCACTTAGCTCATAGCTTGAACCACTTAGCTCATGCCTTGAACCACTTAGCTTATAGCTTGTACCACTTTGCTCATAGCTTGTACTGCTTAGCTGTGGAACTAGTGTTATTGCATATTTCTGGACTTGCCGGACTGTTAGTACTAACTGGTTGATCACAGACTTGAGGAACTTGCTGTTTTTTTTTTCCTTGAACTCAGTGGCGTGTTGTTCATCCCATGGGATGCCAACCCCATGATGATTCTCTTCAAATTACTTGTTCTCTCTAGGCTGGAATATTGCTGTACACTAACCGTACCTTTCAAGGCTGGCAACATTGCAGACCTGAGAATGTAAAGAAAACTTTCACTGCACACGTATGATAAAGTACCTAAATTACTGGGAACGGTTGAAGTCCCTTGATTTATATTACTTAGAATGCAGGTGAGTAAGATACATGATAATATACACTTGAAAAATCCTAGAGGGACTAGTCCCAAACCTGCACACGAAAATCACTCCCTATGAAGTAAAAGACACGGCAGGAGATGCAACATTCCACCAATGAAAAGCATTGGTGCCACAAGTACACTGAGACAACACAGTAAGTGTCTGGGGCCCAAGACTGTTCAACTGCCTCCCAACATACATAAAAGGGATTACCAATAGACCCCTGGCTGTCTTCAAGGAGGAGTTGGACAGGCACCTAAAGTCAGTACCTGACCAGCCGGGCTGTGGTTCTTACTTTGGCTTACATGTGGCCAGCAGTAACAGCCTGGCTAACCAGACCTTGATCCACCACGAGGCCTGGTCACAGACTGGGCTGTAGGAGCATTAATTAACCCCTGAAACCCTCTCCAGGTATGAAGGATGGCTGTTGGAAAGTCTTCGTACCTTCGCATTTATGAGGAGTTTACCCTGACTGTAGTCACTGGTGCAGCACTTTATTGTACCCTGGCAAGACTCTTGCTTTATTGTATTGTACCCTGGCAAGACTCTTGCTTTATTGTATTGTACCCTGGCAAGACTCTTGCTTTATTGTATTGTACCCTGGCAAGACTCTTGCTTTATTGTATTGTACCCTGGCAAGACTCTTGCTTTACATTATGGGTGTTGTACCTTGTCAAGACTTTGCTTTACATTGTGGGTGTTGTACCCTGCCAAGACTCTTTGCTTTACATTGTGGGTGTTATACCCTGCCAAGACTCTTTGCTTTACATTGTGGGTGTTATACCCTGCCAAGACTCTTTGCTTTACATTGGGGGTGTTGTACCCTGCCAAGACTCTTTGCTTTACATTGTGGGTGTTGTACCCTGCCAAGACTTGCTTTATATTGTGGGTATTGTACCCTGCCAAGACACGTGCTCTCGTAGTTATTTGCGCCACTGTAGATGTGGCATCAACCTCAAAAAAAAAGCAATTGCATGCAGTATGCATCCTTCCAATTCAGTGGTGCACTGGTATAACAACAATTCAGTGGTGCACTGGTATAACAATTCAGTGGTGCACTGGTATAACAACAATTCAGTGGTGCACTGGTATAACAACAATTCAGTGGTGCACTGGTATAACAACAATTCAGTGGTGCACTGGTATAACAACAATTCAGTGGTGCACTGGTATAACAACAATTCAGTGGTGCACTGGTATAACAACAATTCAGTGGATGCACTGGTATAACAACAATTCAGTGGTGCACTGGTATAACAACAATTCAGTGGTGCACTGATATAACAACAATTCAGTGGTGCACTGGTATAACAACAATTCAGTGGTGCACTGGTATAACAACAATTCAGTGGTGCACTGGTATAACAACAATTCAGTGGCACACTGGTATAACAACAATTCAGTGGTGCACTGGTATAACAACAATTGATGGGCAGGAAGCATATCCCACTCATAAAACCAACGTCTCAATAAATTACTCGATATGCACACACGCATATTCAAAATACACCAAAGTGGATAGGCCACTACCCTTTTACAACCCCACCTACCCCTCCCCCCCCCCAACCTTTCCTACATTCCATCCATATCCATCCTTCTTCCTCCCTCCCATCTTACCAAAGCTCTGGTCAGAACCTCGAACCTCCAACACTTTTCATCTGTAGATTATATTGTGTGGAGGAAGGTTAGACAGGTAGCTAGACATGCTCCATCTGCAGAGTTTGTACTCTGCTACTGATGATGATAATTTTTCATAATGTATTTACTGGTCTTAACTTCAAGCAAACATTACCTGACTAGTCATACACTTTATTCAATCTGTATATGTATGTATTATCTCATAGATAACACTGAAAAAAATAGTGCAGTTGTCAGCACTTCTACGATCTTTTGACACTATCAAGGAATAGTGACTATTTCTTGATGGTGTCACACTGTTTACATGCTTGCCTACCTGGAGGGTGTTTAGGGGTTGGCTGGGCAACGACCCAATACTAGGTGTAGTTTATGGCTTTTTTTTTTCTTTCTTTCTTTTTCTTTCTTTTCTTTCTTTCTTTCTTTTTCTTTTTCTTTTTCTTTTTTTCTTTTTCTTTCATTCTTTTCTTTCTTTCTTTATTTCTTTCTTCTTTCTTCTTTCTTTCTTCTTTTCTTTTCTTTTCTTTTCGATTTTACTGTTCTTTTGTGTCTCTTTTACTTTAGTGTCAGTACTTTCTTTCTTAATGTGCTTTTACTTGATATGTCCGACTGTACTTTATAGTGTCAGACTGTACTTATAGGTCAGATCTGTTCTTTATAGTGTCAGACTGTTACTTTATAGTGTCAGACTGTTACTTTATAGTGTCAGACTGTTACTTTATAGTGTCAGACTGTTACTTTATAGTGTCAGACTTACTTTATAGTGTTGGACTGTTTACTTGATAGTGTATACATCACACAAGTGTTGCATTTTTACTATTATGTTTTAGTGTTTTTACTTATATTGTCATTATCTCTGTTTACTGTAACCATATTATACTGTTGTATGTGTGTATATTATACTGTTGTATGTATATTATACTGTTGTATGTATATTATACTGTTGTATGTGTATATATTGTACTGTTGTATGTGTGTGTATATTATACTGTTGTATGTGTGTGTATACTGTTGTGTGTGTGTGTATATTGTTGTATGTGTGTATATTATACTGTTGTATGTGTGTGTATATTATACTGTTGTATGTGTGTACATTATACTGTTGTATGTGTGTCTATATTGTACTGTTGTATGTGTGTGTAATTATACTGTTGTATGTGTGCGTATATTATACTGTTGTATGTGTGTGTATATTATACTGTTGTATGTGTGTATATTATACTGTTGTATGTGTGTCTATATTGTACTGTTGTATGTGTGTGTATATTATACTGTTGTATGTGTGCGTATATTATACTGTTGTATGTGTGTGTATATTATACTGTTGTATGTGTGTCTATATTATAGTGCATGTTGTATTTCATTGAGTAATATTGTTATCAGGAAGGAGAAGAGATACGACTGGTCAAAGTTCCGTACGTTGTCACGGCTGGAGAAGAAATACGACGAGACCTTGACGGAATATTTCCGAGCGTTCATGGCCATGTGTAAGAGACAGTGTGGCATCCGTCTCTCTGAAGAAGAGAACGACAGTGAGTTACTATGTTGTTGTGTTAGGCTGCCATGATGACCGATGATCCAAGGAACTAGAGCCAGTCTCTCCTATATTGGATCATGTCTCATTGTAGAGACCATAGTGAAACATTATAGTGAGACAGTAGAGAAATAGAGTAGATAATGGTGAGATGTTATAGTGAGATGGGGGTATAGTGAGATAGGTATAGTGAGACAGTAGGTATAGTGAGACATGTAGTGAGACAGTAGATATAGTGACAATGGACATATTATAGTGGGGCTGTATATATATTATAGTATATATCTTGCAACAATATTTCAGAGATGGTAGAGATCGGGGTTGACAGGTTGCCGGAGGAGCGTGCCCGTCGTGTCCTGGAGCGCGTTGACCTCCTCAACCGTCTCCGCAACGACATCATACCTAACACCAACCTGAAGAGTGCTCTGGACCTGAGCCTGCCTTCCAAGGACATGCCTGATTGGTGGATACCTGGCAAACACGACCACGACTTGTTGAAGGGTGTTGGCAGGTGTGTGTGCCCACCTATATCTTGCTTTATAAGAGACAGGTGGCCTCGCTGCCTCTCCTTCATCCATGGGGGTTTAAAGCTTCTTCAGGGTGGTTAAAATAGTGTAGACCCCTCCATAGTCTTTTAGGTAGGCCTCAGTAGGGTTCTGGCCTTTAGCCAGCAAACTGTAAATGACTACTATTACTACTACTGAAGTATTGGTAAATTTGGTTGTATACTCTCACAATACAAGTGTTGCTGGTTGTATACTACTATCACAATACAAGTGTTGCTGGTTGTATACTACCCTTAGTATGAATGTTGTTGCTGGTTGTATACTACTCACAATACAAGTGTTGCTGGTTGTATACTACCCTCACAGTACAAGTGTTGTTGCTGGTTGTATACTATCACAATACAAGTGTTGCTGGTTGTATACTACTCTCATAATACAAGTGTTGCTGGTTGTATACTTATTTTTTTTTATTATCACACTGGCCGATTCCCACCAAGACAGGGTGGCCCGAAAAAGAAAAACTTTCACCATCATTCACTCCATCACTGTCTTGCCAGAAGGGTGCTTTACACTACAGTTTTTAAACTGCAACATTAACACCCCTCCTTCAGAGTGCAGGCACTGTACTTCCCATCTCCAGGACTCAAGTCCGGCCTGCCGGTTTCCCTGAACCCCTTCATAAATGTTACTTTGCTCACACTCCAACAGCATGTCAAGCATTAAAAACCATTTGTCTCCATTCACTCCTATCAAACACGCTCACGCATGCCTGCTGGAAGTCCAAGCCCCTCGCACACAAAACCTCCTTTACCCCCTCCCTCCAACCTTTCCTAGGCCAACCCCTACCCCACCTTCCTTCCACTACAGACTGATACACTCTTGAAGTCATTCTGTTTCGCTCCATTCTCTCTACGTGTCCGAACCACCTCAACAACCCTTCCTCAGCCCTCTGGACAACAGTTTTGGTAATCCCGCACCTCCTCCTAACTTCCAAACTACGAATTCTCTGCATTATATTCACACCACACATTGCCCTCAGACATGACATCTCCACTGCCTCCAGCCTTCTCCTCGCTGCAACATTCATCACCCATGCTTCACACCCATATAAGAGCGTTGGTAAAACTATACTCTCATACATTCCCCTCTTTGCCTCCAAGGACAAAGTTCTTTGTCTCCACAGACTCCTAAGTGCACCACTCACCCTTTTCCCCTCATCAATTCTATGATTCACCTCATCTTTCATAGACCCATCCGCTGACACATCCACTCCCAAATATCTGAATACATTCACCTCCTCCATACTCTCTCCCTCCAATCTGATATCCAATCTTTCATCACCTAATCTTTTTGTTATCCTCATAACCTTACTCTTTCCTGTATTCACTTTCAATTTTCTTCTTTTGCACACCCTACCAAATTCATCCACCAATCTCTGCAACTTTTCTTCAGAATCTCCCAAGAGCACAGTGTCATCAGCAAAGAGCAACTGTGACAACTCCCACTTTGTGTGATTTTTTATCTTTTAACTCCACGCCTCTTGCCAAGACCCTCGCATTTACTTCTCTTACAACCCCATCTATAAATATATTAAACAACCACAGTGACATCACACATCCTTGTCTAAGGCCTACTTTTACTGGGAAATAATTTCCCTCATTCCTACATACTCTAACTTGAGCCTCACTATCCTCATAAAAACTCTTCACTGCTTTCAGTAACCTACCTCCTACACCATACACCTGCAACATCTGCCACATTGCCCCCCTATCCACCCTGTCATATGCCCTCACAATACAATTGTTGCTGGTTCTATACTACTATCACAATACAAGTGTTGCTGGTTCTATACTACTATCACAATACAAGTGTTGCTGGTTCTATACTACTATCACAATGCAATTGTTGCTTGTTGTATACTACTCTCACAACACAAATGTTGCAGGTTGTATACTACTGTCACAATTCAAGTGTTGTTGCTGGTGGTATACTACCCTCACAGTACAAGTGTTGTTGCTGGTTGTATACTACCCTCACAGTACAAGTGTTGTTGCTGGTGGTATACTACCCTCACAGTACAAGTGTTGTTGCTGGTGGTATACTACCCTCACAGTACAAGTGTTGTTGCTGGTTGTATACTACCCTCACAGTACAAGTGTTGTTGCTGGTGGTATACTACCCTCACAGTACAAGTGTTGTTGCTGGTTGTATACTACTCTCACAGTACAAGTGTTGTTGCTGGTTGTATACTACCCTCACAGTACAAGTGTTGTTGCTGGTTGTATACTACCCTCACAGTACAAGTGTTGTTGCTGGTTGTATACTACCCTCACAGTACAAGTGTTGTTGTTGGTTGTATACTACCCTCACAGTACAAGTGTTGTTGTTGGTTGTATACTACTATCACAATACAAGTGTTGTATACAGGTTTTGTAAGTACAGGCAGGTGTTCAGCTTTATGCAGTACACGTTGCAGGACTGTAAGTTGCACATTTAATTTGGCAGCATGTTATGCATGATGTACTAATTTCTCCATGGAGAAGTGGAAGAATTCTTCCTCGGTAAGTCGTGTGTTGTAAGAGGCGACTAACATGCTGGGAGCGAGAAGCTAGTAACCCCTTCTCCTGTATATATTACTATAGTTAAATAGAGAAACTTTCATTTTTCCTTTTGGGCCGCACTGCCTCAGTGGGTTACTGCCGTTGTATTGTAAGATGATGTACTAACTGCATGATGGTGAAGTGTCAACCACACACAAGGTGTTTCAGCTAGTAGTCAACTACACACAGGGTGTTTCAGCTAGTAGTCAACCATACACAAGGTGTTTCAGCTAGTAGTCAACCACACACAGGGTGTTTCAGCTAGTAGTCAACCATACACAAGGTGTTTCAGCTAGTAGTCAACCACACACAGGGTGTTTCAGCTAGTAGTCAACCACACACAGGGTGTTTCAGCTAGTAGTCAACCATACACAGGGTGTTTCAGCTAGTAGTCAACCACACACAAGGTGTTTCAGCTAGTAGTCAACCACACACAGGGTGTTTCAGCTAGTAGTCAACCCCACACAGGGTGTTTCAGCTAGTAGTCAACCACACACAGGGTGTTTCAGCTAGTAGTCAACCACACACAGGGTGTTTCAGCTAGTAGTCAACCACACACAGGGTGTTTCAGCTAGTAGTCAACCATACACAAGGTGTTTCAGCTAGTAGTCAACCACACACAGGGTGTTTCAGCTAGTAGTCAACCCCACACAGGGTGTTTCAGCTAGTAGTCAACCACACACAGGGTGTTTCAGCTAGTAGTCAACCCCACACAGGGTGTTTTCAGCTAGTAGTCAACCACACACAGGGTGTTTCAGCTAGTAGTCAACCATACACAAGGTGTTTCAGCTAGTAGTCAACCACACACAGGGTGTTTCAGCTAGTAGTCAACCCACACAGGGTGTTTCAGCTAGTAGTCAACCACACACAGGGTGTTTCAGCTAGTAGTCAACCCCACACAGGGTGTTTCAGCTAGTAGTCAACCACACACAGGGTGTTTCAGCTAGTAGTCAACCCCACACAGGGTGTTTCAGCTAGTAGTCAACCACACACAGGGTGTTTCAGCTAGTAGTCAACCCCACACAGGGTGTTTCAGCTAGTAGTCAACCACACACAGGGTGTTTTCAGCTAGTAGTCAACCCCACACAGGGTGTTTCAGCTAGTAGTCAACCACACACAGGGTGTTTCAGCTAGTAGTCAACCCCACACAGGGTGTTTCAGCTAGTAGTCAACCACACACAGGGTGTTTCAGCTAGTAGTCAACCCCACACAGGGTGTTTCAGCTAGTAGTCAACCCCACACAGGGTGTTTCAGCTAGTAGTCAACCACACACAGGGTGTTTCAGCTAGTAGTCAACCACACACAGGGTGTTTCAGCTAGTAGTCAACCCCACACAGGGTGTTTCAGCTAGTAGTCAACCCCACACAGGGTGTTTCAGCTAGTAGTCAACCCCACACAGGGTGTTTCAGCTAGTAGTCAACCCCACACAGGGTGTTTCAGCTAGTAGTCAACCCCACACAGGGTGTTTCAGCTAGTAGTCAACCCCACACAGGGTGTTTCAGCTAGTAGTCAACCCCACACAGGGTGTTTCAGCTAGTAGTCAACTACACACAGGGTGTTTCAGCTAGTAGTCAACCCCACACAGGGTGTTTCAGCTAGTAGTCAACCCCACACAGGGTGTTTCAGCTAGTAGTCAACCACACACAGGGTGTTTCAGCTAGTAGTCAAACCCCACACAGGGTGTTTCAGCTAGTAGTCAACTACACACAGGGTGTTTCAGCTAGTAGTCAACCCCCACACAGGGTGTTTCAGCTAGTAGTCAACCCCACACAGGGTGTTTCAGCTAGTAGTCAACCCCACACAGGGTGTTTCAGCTAGTAGTCAACTACACACAGGGTGTTTCAGCTAGTAGTCAACTACACACAGGGTGTTTCAGCTAGTAGTCAACCCCACACAGGGTGTTTCAGCTAGTAGTCAACCACACGCAGGGTGTTTCAGCTAGTAGTCAACCACACACAGGGTGTTTCAGCTAGTAGTCAACCCAACACAGGGTGTTTCAGCTAGTAGTCAACCCCCACACAGGGTGTTTCAGCTAGTAGTCAACCCCCACACAGGGTGTTTCAGCTAGTAGTCAACCCCACACAGGGTGTTTCAGCTAGTAGTCAACTACACACAGGGTGTTTCAGCTAGTAGTCAACTACACACAGGGTGTTTCAGCTAGTAGTCAACTACACACAGGGTGTTTCAGCTAGTAGTCAACCACACACAGGGTGTTTCAGCTAGTAGTCAACCCCACACAGGGTGTTTCAGCTAGTAGTCAACCACACACAGGGTGTTTCAGCTAGTAGTCAACCCAACACAGGGTGTTTCAGCTAGTAGTCAACCCCACACAGGGTGTTTCAGCTAGTAGTCAACCACACACAGGGTGTTTCAGCTAGTAGTCAACCCCACACAGGGTGTTTCAGCTAGTAGTCAACCCAACACAGGGTGTTTCAGCTAGTAGTCAACCCCACACAGGGTGTTTCAGCTAGTAGTCAACCCCACACAGGGTGTTTCAGCTAGTAGTCAACCACACACAGGGTGTTTCAGCTAGTAGTCAACCACACACAGGGTGTTTCAGCTAGTACTGGGGATATCATGTGAAAGGACTTCATCATTAGTGAAGTTCGCCTTATGAACCAAGAAGTGGTGGTAGGTGAACCCATGCAAGACTAACACTCCTGAGTCATGGGTTCAGACCCATCTGTTTGCAATTGTGTTATGCTTTTGCGAATCGCATGAACTTCGGTTAATGAAGGTTGTTAGTGGCACCTGTGCTGACTCTCTCTCTCTCTTGCAGACATGGTCTGGGCCGCACTGATTACTATATCCTTTATGACCCGGATCTCAACTTCCGTGAGATCATCCGCCGCCACACCGCTGGTGAGCCGCTCATCACCGAGGAGGAGAAACTGGCGCTAAAGAAGAAATACTATGAAAAGGATAAGGAAGAGGAGAAAGTGGAAGAAGTAATAGAAGAAAAGGTCAAAGAAAAGGTAAAAGAAGAAAAGGTAGAAGAGAAAGAGAGTAAAGAGGAGGAGAAGGCAGAAGAGGAAGAAGTGGATGGGGTGACGGAAGAAGAAGTGGAGTCTGAAGAGTGTCTTGCCATCATTCCAGATGAAGAGAAGAAAGCAGAAGAGAAGATGGAAACAGAAGAAGAGGCACAGAAGAACAAAGAAGAGGAAGAAAGTAAAATAGAACAACATAAAGAACCCAAACTAGAAGAGGAAGAAAAGATAAAAGAGGAGGGTGGTATCAAGATAGATGAAGATGAAGAAGAGGGAAGAGCAAAGATGGAACAAGAGGAGGAGGGAAGAGTGAAGGTAGAACAAGAGGAGGAGGGAAGAGTGAAAATAGAACAAGAAGAAGAAGGAAGAGCAAAGACAGAACAAGAAGAGGAAGGAAGAGTGAAGATAGAAGAAGAAGAAGAGGGAAGAGTGAAGATAAAGGAAGAGGAAGGAGGCAAGATAAAAGAGGAGGAGGTGAAGATAGGCGAGGGCTACAGCATCGAGGACTACCTGGACACACTTGACCTGGTCAACGATGATGTAAAGGACGATGTTCAAGAAGAGATGAAGATTGAAGATGAGATGCACGGAAAGGCTAGTGAAGGAAGTGAACAAGTGAATAATGATGGAAACCCAGAGGAAGAAGAGGAAGATAATGGGGGAGACATGGAGGATGAAGAGGATGAGGAAGAGGATGAAGAAGAGGAAGATGACGAAGATGAAAAGGAGAATATTGAGGAGAAAGAGGAAGTGGGTGAAGAGAAACACATTAAACAGGAGGTGAAAGAAGAAAGTAAAGAGATGGAAGTTGATGATAAAGAAGCAGTTGAAGCACAAGTTGATAAAGATGACACCAGTAAAGATGATAAATGTGAAGGGCAAGACAGCAGTAAAGATGCCAAAGATAATAAAGAAAATACATGGATAAAGAAGTGCAAAGAGGAAGTAAAAGATGAGAGTAAAGAAATTAAGGAAGAGAATAAGAGTAAGAAGAAGATTGATGGAGTAGGTGATAAGAAAGATAAAGGTGGATCAGCACTTCTTAGTTTACAACAGATGGATGAAGCCATGGCTAAATGCGGTACAAGTCTGACCTACGACACTCTGGTCTCCAATGAACCCACCGTGGCCCAGCTGCTGGCACAGTCGGCTGCTAATCCCATCAAGTGGCCCAAGGATCGGATGCTGCAGACCAGGATCGAACATCTGATGTATGCAGTGGAACACAAGAAGTGGCCAGTTGGCATCGACTTCCAGAGTAGTGAACACGAGAGTAAGAGTTGCCTGCCCCAGAGCACCAGCAGTGCTTCCTCTCATACCTCAAACTCTTCCGACACCTTAGACTCTGAGCGCAGAAAACGGCGCCAGATTGAAGCGGCAGAGGTGGAGAGGCAGCGCTTACAGGCCTTGTTGCACCCTAATCTTCAGCACACACTAGGGTTAAATAAGAGTTCTTCCAGTGCTGCCGCTACTGCCGCTGCTCTGGGTCTCCCGGCAACCTTCACCAGTGCCAGTCTCCGAGCACTCATGGAACAGACGGACGACAGGAGTAAGAAGGCCCAACAGCAGCTGGCAGCGGATTCGCATGCATTGCGGCAGCTGCAGGCCTTGCAGGGAACACTAGACTTAACTATCAAACCTGTCAACCCCAGTCACAATGCCATGGATATGGCTGCTAGTCTCTTGTCTCGACGAGGTCCGGGTCGACCCCGGCTGGACGACCCCATGCGACCGCTGGAGAAAAGACGTCTCAGTGAATCCCCCTTAGACTCCAGAACTCAGGAAAAGAAACGCAGAAAACTCGACGAGATAGTTTTAGGGCTGACGTCTAAGGGTAAGAGTCCGGAGAACTCTTCTCATAAGGACACTAGTCCTCTTTCTCTTCTTCGAGGATCATCTGTAACCTTATTAACCTCTCGTGACAAAAGTCAGGTGACTAACACCTTGACCACTCCAAAACTGTCGTCTAGTATTAGTATTACACCAACGGTATCTAAGAGGCCCGTCGACACGCGAGTGGAAGACAGCGGTGGAACTTCCATAAAGATGAGCAACTCGGGTGAGAGAGAAGCCAAGCCAGGATTAGTGAAGCAATCTGACCTGCCCCCAGGTGTGACGCTACCACCGGGAATAGAGCTCTACCGCCCAACTGATGCTAAGGTGGATAAGTGGCTGGAGCAACACCAGGGACTCCTGGCAGACTCGTCCAGATCATCCAAGGAAGTAAAGAGGCGCAAGATTGACTTCACTGCCATGGACTGGAGTCAGTTTTCTGGTGACGAACACATCAGTGTCGTCAACACTTCCACTGGCCAGAGGGTTTGTATACTGTGTTTGTATACTGCATTAGTAGTAATAGTAGGTAGTATAGTAGACAGCAACCATACAGAGAGGTACTTCCCTCCTGTACAGCAACCATACAAGGAGGTACTACTTTCCTGTACAGCAACCATACAGGAAGTACTTTTCCTTTTCCCGTCAGCAAAAACCTACAGGAGGTACTACCCTTTCCCGTACGCAACCAAAAAACCCTTCCTTCCAACCTCGGGGGTCTTACCCCCTTCCCCCCCCAAAAATTTTTTTCCCTTTTCACCCTCAAATCTCTTCCCCTTCGCCCCCTCTCTTCCTTACCCCAAAAATTACCTCCTTCACCCTCAAATTACCCCCCCTTCACAACCTACTCTTCCCCCCTCTCAAACCTAAAATTAACCCCCGTACACCCCTGGGGAACTCCCTCCTTCCAAAAACCCCCCGGGGGCTCCCCTTTCTTCCGCCCTCTTCCCCCCTCCTTTTACCCCCCTTATCCTCCTTACCAACCTCAAAAACCCCCCTACGCCCTTTTGGGGCTTCCCCCTTTCCCCTTTTCGGGGTACTTTTTTTTCCCCCCCCCTTTACCCTCCTTCCCCAAAGGGGTACCCCCCTCCGTCCCCTCAATCCCCCTTCCCCTCGGGGGTTTTCCCTTTTCAAAACCCAATTCCCCCTGCAAAAACCTTTGGGGGTTACCCTCCTTCAGCCCTCCCCCTCCGCCCCAAACCAAACTCCTCCGTCCCCTAGGGGTCTACCCTCCCCCCAATCTACCTCCTTACCCCCCCGGGGGTTTTTCCCCCCTTTACTAAACCTCCCCTTTCTCCCCCCTACACCCCTACTTTTCCCCTCCTCCCAAAAAATAAAATCTCCCCCTTTACCACCCTCAAATTTCTCCCTCCTTCCCCATCCAAACTTCCCTCCTTCCCCATACAAATTCCCTCCGTCCAAAACCCCTACAAATTCCCCTTTCCCACCCAAAAAATTCCCTCCTTTCCCCACCTTTGGGGTCTCCCTCTTCAACCAACAAATCTCCCTTTCCTTTACCCCATAAAAATCTCCCCTCCGTCCACCTACAAAACCCCCAACACACCAACAAATACAACCTTTCCCTTTACAAAAACCCTTCCCTCCTTACCGCCCAGGGGCCCCCCTTCACACCACAAATTTTCCCTTTCCACCCCCATCAAAAAACCCCTCCTGTCAACCCTCAATCTACCCTTCCGTCAACCCTTGGGGTTACCCCCCCTTAAAACCCTCAATCTCCCTCCTTACACAAAAAAATTTCCCCCTTTTTCCCCCATCAATCTCCCCTTTTAACCCCCCCCCTTTTCTACCCTCCTTCCCCATCAATTTTACCCCCCTTACCCCCTCTATTCCCTTCCTTACCAACCTGGGGTTTTCCTTCCTTCCAACCTCTTTTTCTACCCCCTTTCCCCTACAAAACTACCTTCTTCCCAAACCTCAAGGTATACCCCCCTTACGCCCTCCCCCCCCTTCCTTTTTTTCCTCCTTCTTTCACCCCCCGGGGAAACTTCTTACCCCCCCAAACAAATTCCCCCTTTTTACGAAAATACATCCCCCCCCCCCCAAAAACCTACGGGGTTCCCTTTCCTTCCCCCCCATAAAACTCCTCCTTCGCCCCTTCCTTCCTTTCCCCTCTTTCTACCTTCCTTCCCCCTTTCAGGGGGGTTACCTTTCCTTACACCCATCAATTTTAACCTTCCTTCACCCTACTACTACCTCTGTCCCCATCAAGAGGAACCTTCCACCAAAAAAAAATTTTCCTTCCCTTCCCCTACTCTCCTTTTTTTAAAAAACCTCATCCCTTCCTTCACAAAACTACAAATATTTTCCCCTTTTCCAAACCTGGGGGTTTCCCCTTCCTTCCCCTCTCTTTTCCCTTTACAACCTCCTCCTTCCTTTTTCACCCCCTTAAAAACCCCCTTTTTACCCCTTTTAAAAAACTCCTTTCCCTGTCCAACCTAAAATCTACCCCCCCGTCCCCTTAAAAAAACCCCTCCTTCCAAAAAACCCTTTTCGGGATCTCCTTCCCCCAAAACCTCAAAGGGTATCCTTCCTTACACCCCCTTTGGGGCCCCTCCCCCCACCCAACCTTCAAAACTACCTTCCTTTCCCCTCGGGGCCCTTCCCCAAAACCATACAATCTCCCTTTCCTTCGCCCCTCGGGGTCTCCTTCTTCCCAAAAAACCATTTTCCCTCCTTAACAACCCCTCCTTCCTTGTACCCCTGGGGGTCTCCCTTTCCTTTCCCCAAATTTTTCCTCCCCCCCCTTCCACCTAAAATTTCCTTTCCTTCCAACCAACAAATTCCCCCCCCAAAAACCTCGGGGTCTCCCTTTCCTTAACCCTTCCCCGGGGTCTCTTCCTTCCAACCTACTCTCCTTCCTTCCCCCTTCTCCCCCCTTCCTGACCCCTCTTCCTTCTTACACCCCTTTTTCCCCCCCCTCCTTCAAAACCATCAATTCCTTTCCCTTTCCCAAAAAAATTCCTTCCCTCCCCCCCTCTACCCCCCTTAAAACTCTTTTCCCCTTCCCAACCAAAACCCCCCCTTTCCTTTTCCCCTCTACTCCTTCCTTTTCCCCCCCTTTTTCCTTCCGTGCCCTACGGGGGTATCCTTCCTTCCCCCCCAAAAATTTACTCCCCTTCGGGAAAACCTAAAAATTTCCTCCTTTCTCGACCCGGGGAGGTTCCTTCCTTCCTTTTGGGGGGGGGTTTTTTCCTTTTTTTCCCCTTACTTCCTCTCCCCCAAAAATTTCCTTTCCTTCCCCATTCAATCTCCCCCCCCCCTTCACCCTTTACGGGAGGACACCTCCCAAAACCCAAAAATACACCCCCCTTCAGCACCAAGGGGGTACCCTTTACAAAACCCGGGGAATAACCCCAACCCAACAATACTCCCCGTCCAACCAAAAATATACCTTCCAAAAACCCCCAAAAAAAAACCCCCCCCCAACCAACCAACCCCCCTCCACACCCCTTGGGGGGACCCCCCCACAACCTCAAAACACCCCCGACAAACCCCCGGGGAACACCCCCCCAACCATTAGGGGGGTCCCCCTTTAAAAAACCCCAAAACCCTTTACACCAAGGGGAACTACCCCCCTTACCCCAACAAACCCCTTTCCTTTCAGAACCAACAAAAATCTACCTTTCGCAGCAAACCAACAGGGGGTTCCCCCCCCACACAACCAAACAAAAAACCTTCCACAAACAACAAACCCCCCACACAACCCCCCCTTCCAAAAAACCACAAGGACCCCCCTTCACAACCAACAAACACCCCCAAAAAACCAAAGGGGAACACCCCACAGCAACCCCTTACCCTTCCAACCATCGGGGAGGAACTTCCCTTTACAAAACCCAAAAATTACCCCTTCCTAAACCCCCAAAAAAAACCCCCCACCCCACCAACCAACAAAAACCCCCCCAAACCTCAAAACACCTTCCTTACCACCCCGGGGTCCCCTTTTCCTTTCCAACCAACAGGAATCCCCCACGCACCATACAGGAGGTACTACCTCTTCACAACCACAGGAAAGGACTACCTTCCGTACGCACCATAAAGTACTCCTTTCCAGCAACCATACAGAGAGTACTACCCCTCACACAACCATACAGAGAGACACCTCACAGCAACCAACGAGATACACCTTCCGACAGCACCATACAGGGACACTACCTTACACTATCAGCAACCATACAGTCTAACCCGTACAGCAACCATTCATGGAGGTACTCCTTCCTGTCTCGCACCATAAGGTGGAGGTACACCTTCCTGCTACAGAACCCATACGAGACTCCTCCTGTACAGCAACAACAGGCAGGATTCCCTTAAGCACCTCGGGACTCACCACTGAACAGCAACCAACAGGAGGACTAACCTCGACGCAACTACAGTATCCTTACCTGACAGCACTACAGGGAGGTACACTCCGAGAACTCATACAAAGGAACTACCTTTTCCTTCAGCATACCATCGAACTACTAACCTTCTGTACACAAATACAGGTGACTAACCTTCCACCACAAACCATACAGAAGTACTATTCTTACACAACATACAAGGAGGAACCCGTACAGCACACAGCGAGTGTACGACTGTGGACTCCACTCAACAGAGAGAACTCGCTGACAGCAACCCAAGCAGGACTTCATCCGACGCAACTGAGCCCAGGATCTCACAGCAACCACGGGAACTACCGACGCACCTACGAGCTACCCAACTGTACGAACCATACAGGGGTAACTGCTGGAGCAACAACAGGGATACTCACTTCCGTACAGCATCCATACAGGGAGTACACCCTCCTGAAGGCAACCATACAGTACTCACCTTCCTGTACGCACCATCGGAGGTCACTACTTCTGTACGCAACCATCAGTGGTCACACCTCCTTACGCGACCATACGGGTTCTGCCTCCTACAGTGCTTACTGATACTCTTCTGTACGCCATACGAGGTATTACTATCCTAGAAGCAACCATACAGGAGGTACTCCTCCTGTACAGCAACCATACAGGGAGGTACTACTCTTCCTGTACGCGCCATAAGGGAGGAATACTACCTTCTGTACAGCAACCATACGGAGGTACTACCTTCCTGTACAGCAACCATACAGGGAGGTACTACCTTCCTGTACAGCAACCATACAGGGAGGTACTACCTTCCTGTACAGCAACCATACAGGGAGGTACTACCTTCCTGTACAGCAACCATACAGGAGGTACTACCTTCCTGTACAGCAACCATACAGGGAGGTACCTTTCCTGTACAGCAACCATTACAGGAGGTACTACCTTCCTGTACAGCAACCATACAGGAGGTACTACCTTCTGACAGCAACCATACAGGAGAGGTACTACCTTCCTGTACAGCAACCATACAGGAGGTACTACCTTCCTGTACAGCAACCATACAGGGAGGTACTACCTTCTGTACAGCACATACAGGAGGTACTACTTCCTGTACGCAACCATACAGGAGGTACACCT